GTGTTGTTAACTTGCTTGCTGCCATTTTTGGCGACCGAGGGATCAAGGGTTTTAGAGAAAAAGGTGAATGAAACATAGGTATCAAAAACTGTGTTCAGCAACCTTAACTGAGAAAATGTCATTTTGAGAAATTACCGAGAGACTTCGTTTTGTACATTATTTATCAAGGAAGCTATCGTTTCTTTTATTCAACTTTAAATAAATGAAATTGAGGTGTAATTTTGGGGGCTTATTAAAGTAGCGAGTTCAACCGATATTCGTTTGTGGTAGTATTTTTGCCGAACGTGACACCCCTTAAGAAATACGATATTGCAGTTTATTGAGAGACGTTCTCGTTTGTTACAAATGAGGATCTAGTCTTTCATAATCGACGAGCTTGTAGCGAATTGCTGGAAAGTGTCGGTGAAAACGTATTTCTCTGTCGTAACTTTATTTCTAATCAGACTTTGACAATAACTTTGGTCCATGAACAAAATGATAAGTTCCGGTTGAAATGTCGGTTCCTCGATAACAAAGCGTTCTCAAACAATCTCAAACGACGTTTTTTTTTCATTTTTTGCCTTCACCAATACATACTGCTGAATTTATCAAACAGCCTTGAACTAAAATGGTTTGAACGGTCTGCAACAAACTCTACTGGTGGATGTTTGTTCTCTCGGATAACACCTGTACTTCAGACAAATCATGAAGAGACCTGAGGAGCAGTTAATTCGAAGAACAACGGAACAACGATGAAGGCAATAAAACTGAGAAGACTCAATCACAATGAAGATATTGCCAATGATTGCATGACACATTGAAGAATAGCGTCAAGAATGGTACAGGTAGCAAAATAACACATTTCTATTGTAAGTTTAAAAGGAAAAGTAAATAAGACCTTATTTCATTGTTTGGCTCAATGATGACAAGCCGTTAGCAATATATTTAGGTTTCAAACACATAATAGGGAAGTTCGTCCTCCTTACCTACACCCAAAATTAGAACAAGAACTGATGTGGTCTGCATTTTGTCGTGCACTCTTTCTTGTTCCAGACGCAAACGTCGACTGCGTACAGAGCTTTTGCGCTCTGGATTAATTTACCTTTAACGCGAGTCAAGTCTTTGGCAATCCATGGAAACCAAAGTGTTGGACAAGCATTAACACGGATGGCGTTTAAAAGAATAAATAAGTGGACTCTTACTGAGATCAACTGAAGCCGACACATCTTTCAAAAAGAGAAGAAAAGTCTAGTAAAAATCATTGTCAGCCCTTTGAAGACATGCACTTCAAGACGAGATCCGATAAGAGACCGAGAAATTTCAGTTTTTAGTGAACAAAACCTTGTACTAGAATGGTTTTAAGTATATTGCAATCCTTTTTACATTTTCTAAAAGCTGAAGATATTATTAATTGCCTGAAATAACACCAAAAACAATTCTCCATGGAAACTCGAAGAAATACATTTCAAGGTTCAGAGAAATTGTGCAAACACACTGGTCAAATTTCATTGCCAGTTTTATTTCATCATTTCTTTCAAGTGTTTCATATAAACTTAATTTTTTTTCTCCACATTTGGTGTTGTTAGAACTGACTTCTTTTGAGAAGACATTTAAAACAGTCGCACAGCACTTTGCAATATGATGTAAATAATTTCTGTAGAAAGCTTTTTCCACTTGTTACTCGAACTTCTGCTAGATTCCTTATTAAGCTGTCTTATCTTTGTCACGCCTAAAGACGGGACATGCTTTTTTACATCTCCCCCGTTCTCTCCTCGGAATTTTATGCTCATATTGAAATGTCCTAAAGCAATATTTCAAGCCTTTGCAATCCATGGACCCATAGTATTTGACAAAGAATGATTTCAGTTGGTTATAAAAGTTTTTTTTCCATTCGTGAGAGGACAAACTCTGCAGATTGATTGAGACCGGAACATCGAGAAGTCACAGATAAGTAATGCTCTAAACAAACTACGTGTAGCGCCCACTAAGTGCATTGTCATTTGAATGGAAGCGTTGTTTATATTTCTTCGTTTTTTTTTTTCATTAACGCTTCGTTCCAGAGGCTTTATTTCTAATTTTTGCAAATGAAGTGAAAGAACCTTCTCGACGTTCAAAGTCATAACGTGCTGTGTTTCGCGTTCTTGGCCATTACTGTCAAGAATTTACTAGAAATGCGAAATAAATTTTAAGACCAAATCAATCGACTCATGTGGTCCTCGGCAAGGCCAGCCACCCACCCACAAGATAGTTGCCGCTTCCATGCAAGTTTATATCAACGTAGAAAACTGCACAGAAAACTCGGGGGGGTTCCGAACGCTATCCAGTCCAATCGTTTGTTCAAAAGATATGTGCCACATGAATCCCTAATGTAGAAATCTATAATCAAAATTGTTTTTTATTTCAATTTACGCCTGGCAGTATTTAATTCTGGCTGCTTCACTGATGATGTGAGTTTATAACCAGGACGTTTAGCTGCTTTAAGATCCCTTTATGTTGGTGGAGCCATCTCTCTCGTGAATTGTTCATGAAAACAAAATAATAATAATAATAAATACAGTAAAACAATACATCAAATTCCGCTACCTTAAGTGCGACACGTTTTCGTGAATATTTGTTTATTTAGTGCTTTGACGGCTTAAAAAGTGACTTGATAATTGATTTTGCTATGTGCATACAATATAATTGAAAGCAAGTACGAATGTAAATGAAAAAAAAATGTATACATATATATGCATCTACGTCCTATGACTAAACCAGGCTTTTTTAAGGAAACTATTAAGGAAGCTATTTGACAATAATTTTTGTGGTTGCTTTGAGCTGGTGGTTGGGACTCTCTGTACACTGAAACTGACTCCAAAAATATGTAAAATACATAAATCATCAACAGAGTATTTTGATATGCTATAAAAAAGTGCCGGCCTGATGGGCCACTTAATTGGTTCGTATGTAGACTTTGATATTCATGCCCTTATCTTTTACTTATATATACTTATAGAGACGGCTTTGGTTGCGCGTGTGTATTTTCAAGTTCAGGTAAGTTCATATATAGTTGTGAACATTAACTGCTGAAAGTAAACGCACTACAAACTATTCGATGGTGGCAATAAAAGACTCTAAAAATCTACGTACATGTAACCGCTTTAAGCTGAAGGCGAAGTTATATAGCGGGCCACCGCGGCCAAAAGCAGATGTCATGATAATCAGCCTTGATGTCATGCATATATCGTTTTTCGCCACGATTAGTTTGAAATATAAGGCTTTAAGGGTGAACAGCATAATCTACATTTAATACGTTTACGGGCGAATTCCCAAGTTTGTTTCTTTGTTTGTTTGTTTCAAAGTCGCTTTACTGGTTTTTGGAACTGTGCAAACTGCTTTTCAATTTCGGCGTTGTTGTAGTATAGATAATTTGATTTGTTATATTTTTCCCCATATTTTTCTGCTAATTTAACGCAATGGAAAGTCCAGTGAAAAAAAAGATAAGTGCCAGTGGGAGCTCCGCTTTTACACTTGCTTGAATCTATATTTTACGAATTAAGCTGGACAGTCGTTTACCTGCGCTCCCTTCGCTTTCCAGACCTTATTAACATCAAAATAATTGTATATAGTTTTTAAGTGGTGGAACGATTTCACTCCTTCACTCCTTCTCTCTTCACCCCTTCACTCCTTCACTCCTTCACTCCTTCACTCCTTCACTCCTTCACTCCTTCACTCCTTCACTCCTTCATGATCACTCCTTCACTCTCTGTTAGACATTTGGAACCTCGGGCGACACTCCCATATGAGAAGGTCAGGGATGCTCGTCGGAAAATTTGAATTTAACTCCTAAAGAAGAATAATGTGGACGTTGCTCAAGCCTCATCAGACTCCTAAAAGATACCACTTCAGCGGAAAACAAATGAGAGCGTTTCTTTTATTATTATTTCTTCGAGTGCATCTTAAAGAATACTTTGACAGCAGAATGGTGACGTTTCGTCATCAACACCCTAAGTGAGACCAGAATCCTTGATTTGTGCCCGAGACGACGAGCATCCCCGACCTTTTCATATAGGAGTCTCCCCCGGGTTTCGAACATCGTGCTGTCCAAGGCCATTTTACAGTCGATTGCGCCGTGTCAAGTTAGTTATTCTTCACATTTCTGACACATGTACTCAATATCTTACCTCAGAAATGTTCTACATTGAATAGATTTTCGCACGAACGTTTTTATATATAGAAGCTAATTATGTAAATAGCTCATTTCCCGAAGGTGTCCTCTTATATAGGTTTTACCGTACCCGATTGCCGAAAACTGAGGAGATATTGAAAATCACAAAATTGATGAGCTGTAAGAAGTTTCGAATTATGAGCAAACCGAGAATGATCTTGAACAAAATATTGAT